TTCAATAGAATCGGCTATCCCTAAGAAGAGTATCAGAAAGAGGGAAATCGTTCACGGAGAAGCCAAGCTAGCAACAAACAGCAGCTACAACATGCTAAAACAAAAATCAACCTTGCTTGTCTTGCGTGTTCAAGTGCCTAGAGCTTGAAGTGGTTCCATCGACGTCTGGGGTTGCTGCAGAAGACAGACTTGTCACGTGCACATCCAGTTAGCCATCATTTCGGAGTTCACTAAGGGTTTTCCCCTGTTTTCACTGTTTTTCTGACCTCGTCTCAGTTTGCTCCAAGTTCTGTTGCCATCCACCAGGCCACGGTCGACCGGTTCAGGACGGTCCAGTTGGACCACTGGAGACGGTTTTTGAGGCACAGACCGTGATGAGTCAGCTTCCAACTATAGAAAAACAATGGAAGAAACATGAAGGTCCACATATGTCCACATTGAATGTGTCTACAAGTGGTTTTTTTTAACCATAGAATCATGGAATTTCAGTGAAAGGACGGACCTTGGCAGGCGGAAAGGGGTGCGAGATTCAAGCGTATTATGTATTATGCCTCGCATGCAAGCGATTCGTATTCTGGTGCAATCAGTCACAGCCCGTACATCCGGAAGGTCGTTCAGTGTTGAAGTCCCCTCCAAGCAAGGTGGCCACATGGATTTCGAACCTTCGCCCCACTGAAAGTCCAATCTGTTTCGGAAGCTGATCTCCATGTGTTGCGACTTGGTCACACAAGAACACACCCCAAGGCTTCGGCTGACGGTCTCTCCAACACGGAGACTTGCTCCTCTCGCGTGCGTTGCTGTGAGGCGGGACGAGTCAAAACGAGTCATCCAACGAGTCATCCGGTGTTTTCCAGCGGCTCGACTCCCCCAGGGTAAAAAGAACTGAGACCCGTTCAGAAAACACTGACTCATGACCGAATTCCAAAGCCTTTGGGATTGTTTGGGTATACATAACGTACACAAACTAGAAGCTCCAGACCAGCAAATCAGTGTCCTATGGCACCAAGCCCGTCCTTGGTCTGAAACAATTCGCCAGTGTCGCCAGGCAACAACATGTTCTGCAAGAACACACTCATGTCAAAACCGGCGCCCGGGGCTCTTTTTGTAGCCGAATACTTGACATGAAAAAAACAAGTCCGAGCGGCGCGATCAACAAGTCGGACATGATCAGACCCTGTCGCCAAGTACCCCCGTTGGGTTGTTTTCATTGGGAGCATAATATCCATTCAGGCTGCGATCCCCAGCACAGTCACTCGCGGCAAGTTCAGTGTGTGAACGGGACGTGAAAATCCGACTTGCTTTGCGCGCCTTGTGGCTGGGATGGAAGCCCATCTGAATGATGACAAGAAATGACAAGAAGGTGTTGATGATGGAGTATTTAAACGTTAAATTTGCTGACCGGCACTGCAGTGTTCACAAGCGTGAGAGCTCAGGAACCTCCAAACGTGTTTGACCTGTTTTCTCGCTGTTTTTGGGGTCTTTCGCAAAAAGAAAACACGTGATGCAGACCGGTGTCCATCATCGGACGCTCGTGCGGACACGACCAGAGCAAACGACGTTGCCACTCATCTGTCTGGAATGGTTCACAATGGTTTCCTACCTGAATCCCAGAGTTGGTTCAAGGGAAAATCTACAGGAAACCATGGCTAACCTACTAGTTACTAGTTTCGGAGTGAAAACCATGGTTTCCTAGATCTTCCCTTAAACCAATTCTGGAACTAAATGGTCTGGGTTAGTTCATCCCGATTGCATGTTTCCTTTTCGATTCTTCTGCCTTGATTCCAGGTGTTCCACATCCGACTCGCTCCGCCTCCCACCGAAGCCCCCCCCCGTCGCCGCCCTCGCGTTCTCCTCGTCGCGGGTCCCGCGCCGGACGGTACGGCCACGGCGCTTCTGGCGCCGGGCGCGTGCGGGTGTCCAAGCAGACTCCAGCCCGTAATCCGCCAGTGACCCGTCATCCGTTCTAGTAAGCGTGAGCGTGAGCGGATACACGGCTTAATACACCTTCCCAAGCATTGCACAAAAAGAAACAGTTTTGACAAGCATTGCGGAGTAGGCAGTGCTTTTCGCAGCCTCCATGTGTTAAACTCTTCAACACGACGCGCATAGACTATACCTGTTAGTGTCGTTAGTGTTGCTAGTGTTGGGTTGGGTGGCATCCCACCAGTGACCCTGAATCTGGGAACCTCAATCGTTGGTGCCCAAATTAGACACCACATCCAAGAGAGAACATCCTCCGCCTCCTCAGCTGCTTCAACTTTCTCTTGCTTCAGCTCCTCAACCGTATCCAGAACCTGGGTCAGAGGATGTCTTGGCTCTGCTGCTCTGCATGGGATTGGTCGATTGTGGCTTGCCAAACCTATGTTCCTACATGTTCCTACAAGTGTTTAGCCACTCTATGACAAAGGAGGCATACCAATTGCTTCGGCCGTGCCCAGAAAGGCAAGCTAGAGAAAAGGGAGAACAGCTGCAGTCTCGGAGTTCCTCCATCTTCACCTGAAGTCAGCCTGCAAACCTCCAGTCCTCTCCCGACAATCGCAGAGGAAGTTCCTGCGGGCCTTGGGGAACTCCTCGTGAAGATCCACGGGCACCGAGTTCGAGGTGGAGGCCTCGATGTCTTCGGGAACGCAGAAGAAATATGGCCATGCCGGGCGTGAAGGACGGCGGAGGTTTGAGACTCAACAATGCATTGATCTCTCCTTCTCCTTCTCCTTCTCCTTCTGCTTCTGCTTCTTCTTCTTCTTCTTCGCGTAGACTGCTAAAGCTGATTGGCGCCCCCTTTGTTGAAACTACTGTACCATAAAATCACCATATATAGTCTATCAACTCCTGCTAAAACATGCTAAAACCACTTTGAACAGGCGAACATCATGATACGTCTACAAGACAGTCCAGCATTCTCCAGCAAGAAGCCCTTGTCATTGTGCTTTTGGGTCGCTTCTTCAAACCCCTCAGGACCGCTCCACTGGTCTAAGACCCCACAAAGGTCGCCACACACCGCCACACCGACCCGACGAACAGACCCTTTTGAATCGCTCCGCGCCCTCCTCCGCGGAGCCGGGCACGGCCTTCATCGCCTTGACGTGTTCCTTCCAGGGCATCTCCGGCGCCGCCATGGCCCTGAAGGCAATGCACGGCGCACCGAAGGGGTTTTTCGCCAGGTCGGTGGTCTCGGAGGTCGGACGTGCTCCGGAATTCCCCCAATGCGTGGTGTTCCACGCAGCGCGAACACGGAGGAAAGTTGAGAGTTTGCCGCTATGAGCCAACCAAATTAGACATCAGGCATGGAAAGTCGCCTCACCTCAATCACGCAATGAGTTTTGACACACAGCCTTGTTTGTCCTGCTGTGATTTACCTCAGCGAGGTCTCAAATTGGTCATCACATCCAGTGAACTTTCCCAGTGCTGAGTGCCCGAACAAAAGTTTGTGGATGTCCATGAGGGTGTGTTGGAGATTGAACTCAAGGCACAAACAAGATATACAGGTAATAAGGGACATTGACGTGAGCGAACCATCTTGACAAAAAACGCATCAAACTCCTGACTGATACAACAACTATAAATTGGTGCCTGTTTTATTGATACGAAACATCAACAGTGAAAGTTAGTATGTGATCGTGGGAGACTCAGTCCAGCAACCCCCGACGCCGAACGGACGGAGACTCCGACGCCGGGCCGGTCGATGGAATCGAGGGAAGCGGCTATCGATCGTCATTGTAAATCTGGATCTTCGAAACGGCACATGTGGTTTTGTCGGAGACATTTAGTCAGTGAAAGGTCGAATCATCCCGTGGTCCGTGGTCCAAAAACCATGTCGTTTCACGGGCTATCTAGATGGCCTGGCATCATTTGGCTATTTTTTCGCGATGTTCAAACCTCTGTGAAGACGAAGACAAAGACTTCCAGTCTTCACTCCGTTCAGCCATCGAAAAGATCCATGGACCCTGCATGGACCGAGTCTTCTTCTCTCCAAACAGCTTGATGGTCCGAATTCGTAAGACCACTCGCAGTCCACACCGTGACCTCACCTCATAAAATCGAAACATCAGGCCGTATTAGGCCTAAGGGCCTGTCCCTACTATTATAGTAACAAGAAGCTACGAACGGAACAAAGGGTATCGCTACGAACGGAGCAAGAGGCTTACAGGGTGAGAACAGATCCTTTCCTCAAAAACGTCAGACCCGACTGAACCGTCTCTGACCACCCGTCCCACGACTGTGAAACACCGCACCGCCCACTCTCTCGTTCCGCCTGGCTTCGGCCCAAGGGCTCCATGCGCGGCGGCCCGTGAAAACCCTGCGTCCCCCGCGTCCAGCAGAACGCCGCCAGCGATGAGCCGATGAGCCCCAACGAACCACGCCCCGCGCGCCCGCCACGAACGACGCCACGCACGACGCACGGACGCCACGTCAAGCAAAAGCGCACCGGCCCGCTTTTGCCACGCTCGCGATGTTTGGTCGCTCGTTTTGTGTGGTCGAGTTGGAGGCCACTGCTTTTGGCAGAGCTAAAAGCGATGGGCATCCGGGTCATGATCACAATTCTTGTATTGAAAAAACGTGCAAATCCCAAGTCGTACAGCCAAGTCGTACCCCATGATTCCCCACAACATCAGGTACCTGCAGCTTCATAAATGGCATTGTCCTCATCCGCTAGATATCATTAACCCAGGTTGGATGCCGTCCCCACCAGCACGGTATGGCCAAGGTGGCCGAGTGCGAATGTGGGTCTTCGTATCCCTGTACACGTGCGCTCCTCGCTACATCGACACGGGAGGTCGATTCTGAGATCTTTTTGTCCGAAGGAGCCACCAAAAGATCACGGCGAGTTCTCGGTCGAAAGATTGATATGGAATATGAACATCTGGATCTGTTGGAGAGAAAAGAGAAGAGAAAAAAGCCGCCTTAAAACCGCACAACATGAGATCTGATTTTGGACTTCCCAAGTGGAAGCTTCCGGAAGATCACCCTTGCCGCAAAGCCACGTATATAGCCACGGGGCTTCACTTGTACCTGCAACTGTGGCAGCCAAGTGAACAGCAAAATGTTGGATGGCAAATCCGCTTCACATGATATGGTGACCTGCTCTCAAAAACAATATCAAAAAGAGTTGTCTTGAGGTCCCCGGATCTGGATAGTCTGAAGTCGAACTCTTTCAGCCGGAAAGTTGCGCAGCCCCATTTGGGCGATATCGTCAGTCCAACCTCTCCAAGATCTTCTTCTTCTCGAGCTTGCCCATTTGATTGCGCGGCCTAACCGGAAGGAATGAGGATCACCGTGGGACCATGGGGATCAGCAAGGGGACCGTTTGACCAGGCTCAATAGTTGGACAAAGGCACGCAAAGGCTACTGGTTTTATACTATTTTACTGTGTCTATCCCACTGCTAAATTGGGGAAACTAGGAAGCCAAAAGTCTGGACTGAACCATTCACACAGCTACCATGTGTAAGGGGCTAGCAGCTACCATCCTCTCTAACAGTTGAACATATAAAATGGGTGTGTTAGGGAGACCCCTCACAAGACCCCTCTGGAAGAAGGTTGTTTAGAGCAAAACCTTAATGTAGACTCTTAGATTCATAGAAACCCCCATATGAAGAACTGTTTCAGTCCAAATGGGGGAGCTATTCATCAAGAGCCTACACGATTGGGCCACGGGGTCTCCTTATTGCAATAGACACCTATTGTCATGTAGTCCTCCATTTAATGACCGCGAGTTCGCATCGGATTGTCTGCACATCTCCCCATCTGCACCAAAAAGCGGACGCAAACCCGACAGCTCTCCTCACGAAGCCCGGCTTGCCACTGGCACCCACTGTCTTTAGGGTGTGTCTGATTGAGGGTGTTAGACCATGTTAGACCTTCCTTAGAATCGTGAATCAACAAAAAATTATGATTGAAACATGGCCACCTTCCGCTCCTTCCCCCAAGCTCCGCGATCCAAGAGGCAACTCGCTGACGATCTCCAAATCCTGGGGCACCTATCCACGAACCCAAACCATCGAAGGAACAACCACCTGGTTGGTTCCGATGGGTCGTTTCTAAGCACCGACGAAGAAGAAAAAACATGCAGCTTCCGAAAGATTGATGACATAGAAAACCTGAAAACGAAGAAAACCGAACACCCCACCCGTCACATGTCTGGTTGAGTGGCTTTACTATAATTAAGCATGTTCAAAAAGGGAAGGCGGCAAGATCACTTTTGTTTCAAGTTGATGGAACTAGTCTTTGTGGATATGATTTGGGTTTGTAAGTATCAAAATGAAGGGAGGCCCCGTGGTCTAATCCCCGACATGCATCCAAACCGCCAGTTCGGGCTGTCAAAGGAGTAAAGAAAATAATAGCTTTGAGGCTCCAAGAACAACCAACCCATGGACCTCCTCGCTTTCTTAGCATTATACATCAGTCCCGTCCCACCAAACGACCAAACCAAACGCACCAAAACGACCGGAAGTGGAGGGCTGCTGTCAACGCCCCGCCCCGGGCTGCCGCGGGGAGATCTCGAAGCCTCACCTTGTAGGATGCCATCCGCTCTTTGCCCCACTCCCTGAGCTCCTCAGCAGCGCTGAGAGCGCCTTTGTTCTTGTGGGAAGACGTCTTGCTGGGGGCTCTTGGGGGGTGGGTCTTTCAGGTGAAGATCCAAAGGCGACACAAAGAGGTGGATCATGGCTCACCTTGCGCAAGGGTCTACCCTTGGTCGCTGGATGGAGACACCAAGCCCGTCACGGTTTCCGGCGTTTCCGGCGTTTCCATCTGGCGTCCACCGTCACGGTCCGTCACGGTCCGGCACTTCCGACGGACCATGGGTCCATGCCATCCACTTCGGGTCCGTTCGGGAGTCGGAAAGGGAAAAGATGTGAACTATATACTAAGTGGGATGATAGCCAAATGTCAACATCGATGTTCGACCTAGGTAGGAAAATCCAAAAGTCTGTCACAACCATTACTGTCATTTGCTGTATACTTCGAAATGGGACTCCGTGTGGGGCATGTGGGTTGTGGCTCAGACGGCCTCAGGCCCGGCCTCTGTGCAGCAAGAAGCACCCAGCCCTGAATAAAGGGTGCTTCTTGCAAGTTCCATGAGTGAAAGGATCAACGGATGGAATCTAGGCTTGGTTCGTTCCCAAATTGGTCCGCTGTCCATTCCTTCAGCTCTGGGAGTGGAATACGATCACGAGCTAAAGCGAATGCTTGGATCCCGCCTACCTCGAGCTCAACTCTTGGAGCTTTGGAGAATCCTCACTACTTGTAAGTCAGCTTGCACTCCAAGGAATGCACCACATGGAAGTTCCAGACCTGCTTCTAGAGAGTAGGGCCGCACACGGGTAGCAGTCTTCCCAGTCTCCGAACCCAGTCTCCTTGATCGTGAGCGCCGCGCCGCTCTCCAGCACGCACACGGCGGTCACCTCTCAGGTCGTTCGAACTCAGGAAGAATCGGGTTGGCGCCGGGTTCAGATGGTCCCAAAACCTACTATAGTATATGGTCTCCAAATGGATAGTGGCACGGTGTCCAAAACATGTTGAGTGGGGATCTACTTCTCTATCTAAATTTGGGGGTCTATATAACATGAAGATACATGAAGATTCCGTCGCTTGAGTCAAAGCTTCCAAAGTGACAGTGGTCTAGACAGTGTTGTATGTAGGATGCCCTGCCAAAGAATATATATATATATGTATATATATATGGTAGGCAAAACGCAGCCTGAGAAGATGTCTGTCACCATCTACCCAGTCCAAGACCCAGGAGTGGAAACACAGATGGACACCTCGACTGAGGCTGACGAAGAGGCGGCTCGAGCCATGGGACTTGAGGACTGATGACAGTGTCTGCCTAAACGCAATGAATGGGATATTGTGTTGGTGCAGCCTGCAGCTTCTCTTGCGCAGTTCCAAAAAGTGGACGCTTTCAACTTGTTTCCTTATCGGTTGTTTGCCAGTTGATCCTACAGCAAAGGTAGTAGCCACGCCTGTCGTGTACATGTACCATGATACCGCATGTTGCCATGTTTTTCAAACTAGCCGTAGTTCTCAAAGCAGCGTGCAGCACCTCGGGTCATAGGTCATAGTCACACGTTGTGCTGCCGAGCCTCCATGTCACGCCTTCCACCACTTGCTGACGGACGGGACAGTGAACGTCAACTACATCCTCCTCTTCTCAGCCCCAGGTCAAGGTTGAAGAAAAGACAGAGCGCATACGACTCCCTCGTGGCCTGTCACTATGAGCTTTTGGATTGCTACCCAGACCTTTGGATCATTCTTCCGCAAGCAGGTGATGCATATTCAAAACGAGGCTGGGAGCAAGCTTGCTTCAAAACTAGAGAGCTTTTGCGAGTCCTACAAGAATGCCAAGACAGTGGAAACAGAGTGGCTTGCCGCAACTTCATCCTAACAACCTACGACAATTTCTTCCAGATGAATGCGCATTACCGGCAGCTTCTCCTTGACCCAGCAGATGACATTTTGGATTCTGAGTGGCTTGCATCTGAGATTGGAGTGCTTGCTTTGCTCAGCCTCGTCTGTCCTGCAACAGTCAGGTAGGCGCCTTTCAAGATCGCCGCGTAGAAAAAAGTATGTGCACTAAGCGTTCTCTCGCAGTCTGAGTCTATGGCATACATGGTTGAACCTCTTGCTTTGCATGGTTGAAGAGTGCTCACGCATGTCTGCCACCATGTCACATGACTATGTGCTTCCAGATTGTCTCGATTTCCTGTCAATGCTTTTCTGTCTGGCTGCAGCTTTGTCGCTCAGTGCTTGTTATAAACTTTAGTCCGGCCATTGGCAGTCCCAGGCCGAAACTTCCTTGCATCATGGCGCGGCAGTTCAACCCTTTTCCAGATCCCAAGAAAGGGAAAGGGCGCATGGTGCTGAAGCGCCCAGCTTCTGCGAAGACACCTGCTTGGAAGAAGGTTGCCTATGTCAGGGGTGTGCCCACAGTGCCGCCGCGTGGTGTTCGTAGAGAGCAAACTCATTGGAAGCGCACTATGACTCAGTTGCTTTCCCGCTCTGACACCCAGATTGTCAAGACCCTGATCGAAGACAAGCTGCTGCCGGATTGGTCAGGGAAGGTGTGCCCCAAATGTAACAAAGGCATCCTGTCGTCTTTGAAAGTCCACTGTGGTGACAAGACGCCCAAGTATCGATGCTCTCACTACAAGTGCCACCAACGGGTTCATCCACAACATCTACATCCTTTCTTCCAGGCTTGTCGCGGACCAGAAGGGCATTCTCTCCAAGTCCAGGCCGCGCTGCTTTTGGCACTTCTTCTTCGTGTACCCCTGGCATCGGCGCTTGGAAGAGATTCGCAGAAAGTTTGTGGAGAAAAAGGAAAAGCACATTGTCTTCGGGAAGTCGAAGACTTGGATTGATGTGGAGGGTGACGAAGTCACATTTGACAGGCATGACATCTCCCAAGATCCAGTCCTTGGCCATGAAGTCAAAGGAGACAAGTGCGTTCTATGGGAACAATGGTGCGGCCTTGTGCGGAGAGGAAAGCCAGAGACGCTCATCATGACTCGTCTCAAGCCTGGCCTCACAGTCCATCGTGCTCCAGGTCCTGGTCCCATCAGCAAGCATGACTGGACACCCTTGGGCAAAAAGCACTTGGCTGGCAAGAACATCATCTTCCACACGGATTCTGCGCGTGCCTACAAGCTGAAGCTTCGTGATGTACTTCATGATAGCGTTGTACATAAGAAAAAGCGCGTCAAGAAAAGTGGCAAGTGGGTTTGGACCAAGCCTACGTTTGTCAAGGTTGTGACGCATAAATTGCCAGGAGGCAAGAAAATTAAAGTAAAGGCAGGCACTCAACACATTGACCGGTGTTGGAAGTTTATCAAGGAGCGTGTGTGTAAAGGCACCCACTCCCGTGCAGGCCTGAAGCGTTTGCATTTCAAAATCCGGGCGGCCCAGTACGAGTACTGGTACCGTGGGTCTGATATGTGGAAATGCACCGGGGATCTCGTGCAGGACCACATGTCAGGAATTGTTGCCCAGCCGTGACCGCATCTGTGCTGAACAAAAAGGCCCTTGCCATGCATATCCCAGGTTGCTGGAAAATCTTCATACAGCATCACTCAACAAAAAAACTTTCTGCAACTTCCCCCCATCTTCAAGGCATGCTAGGCCCCACCTGAACAACTATATCTCCAAGATCCCTTCTGCTTGCTGGGAAACATTCAACAAAGAGGCATTCTGGAATCTTCTTGGCACCTCCAAAATCATAAGGTTAAATCCAAATACCAAACTTTTGCAAAACTCTGGCTGCTAGTTCCCAAATGAACAACTTATCTCAAGATTCCTATCGCCCAATGCACAATATGGTGACATGCAATTCAACAGACCAGACAAAAAAATCCTCAAAATGTACCCCCAAAAAATGAATGCCAAAATATCATCAAACCACTGTAAATACTAGTGCAAGCCGAAAAAATGTGGACTTTTTTTGGGGGGGGTATCATATATATATATATATATGATCAGAAGACAAACTGTGTCTCAGCAGTTCGCAACAGAATCATTTCACATTGAATAGTGCTAAGGAGATGAAATGCTGAAAAGTGCCACTGGTGTCAGCTATTTTGGAGCTGTGGCACTCTCCGAGTGGCCCGATCCACCGGTCTGGCCAGCCCTGGCAGCCCTGGCCTTCTCGCCCCAGGTGGCATCCGGCTTCCCGACCACGGCGCACTCACGGATGTTCTCGTGCTGAAGGAGAACCTATATCATATCATCTCTATGCAGGAGATCGTTGAGAATAGATTTGAGTGATTTCAAGGACCCCAGGAACCATTCAGGATCCCCTGCTTGTGGTGCTCATGAGGTCTTCTTGAACCGCTGGTGAGGCCGCTTTCACATGACTCAGAATAGATGACAAGTACGCCTTGCAAACGTGATGAGGAGAGGAGCCTTTACAGAGCTTACAGAACTTCTCTGGATCCAAGTCGAGGATAGCAATCAAATATCTTGAGAAAGACCATGGCTGTTGGCTGAATCTGGGGTCCCCGGGGTCCCGGGGTTCCCTCCCCCAGACTTCGGGAAATTCCTCAACACTTGGTTGTTTCGTCCCACTACCGGCTGGCCGACCCCTTCCAACTTCCCGACAGGAAAAGCCACCGGCGTCGCCACGAAGGAACCCCCCAGGCGACCCGCACACTCTCAATCTCGAGCCCAGAGATCTTGTAGCCTCCACTCTTGATGATGTCCACAGACGTCCGGCCTGTGCGGCCATGCGGATCCTATTTTTCACACGGCCATGCAGAGATGTGTGGCCATGCGGTCATGTGACATGGTCTCTTGTATCAACGGAGACGCATGGCCGCTCCGCCCCGGTCCACCGTCCTTTTCTCAGTAGGAGTTATTTGGCTGTTCGTAGACAAGTCGATAGTTTTCCATCATGCCGACTATGATTGTGATACAGATTGTTGAACAACACTCCGACCATCTTCGACCCATCCTGATCTCCGGACCTCTCCTTGCTTGTGGCTGGGGAAAAGAATGGGCACAAATCATCAGACGCAGACAGATCCTGATCTACGGATGTCGAACGGTCGAACTACTTGTGCCCAAATCTCGGAGGGGTGGTCTTCGGACTCTCCACCCGACCACTGGCGAGTCGGGTGGTCTTCGGATTTGCCACGGCCGGACCATCAACCGGTGGAGATCGATAGAAACCGAACAATGAGATATGCCGACCGATGGATGGATGCATTGTTTGACCGCGGATAACGTCTCTTTTGCTTCAAAGCTTGAAGAAAACATGACTTTTTTTAAACGATCTTCAAGAGCACCTCACAAACTCCCAAGCTTGAATGTAGACTCTTGATATTTCACCCCCCCATTTGGATTGAACAGCCTCTTCATGCGGGGGGTTCTATTAATCAAGAGTCTACAACCTCGGCCACCAAGCCCGTAGCTCGGTCCCGGCAACACAGCTGTAAGCCACCCGGCCCAAGATCCGATAGATGGACACCAGTTCGGGCTCTGCCACCTCAGAGCCCCGAGTTCCGGTCGAGTGTTCGGTCATATCCATGCCCGAGGCCCTCGATCTGTGTCCGCCCTCCAAAAGGAATCTGGTCTTTTGGGGTTCTATGAAGTGTGTGTGTGTGTGTGTCCATGTTTCATGGAGGTGTCATATGTTTCAAACAGTTGTCATGCCGCTGATTTTGAGCTGTTACGGCCCCTTAGAGTAGGGTTGGAACAAGTGTGATCGAACCAGAAACGGACGGGACCACGGCGCTGATCGAACGAAGGCCTCCGTCCTGAGACGGTTGTAACAAATCGAGCTTGGTGAGTCCCACTGGCGCACGAACATCACCAACGTATCAGGAAATGCAAGACTTGCACCACGAGTTTTTGCTTTTGGGGTAAACGAGTTTTTTCTATTGGTGGAGGCTTAAATAGTCTCACTATTCACTAAGCACAACTACTGTTTAACAGTTTAACTTCTTGTTTACAAGATGCTATACCACCGTCTGACATACAAAGCACATCAAAGCACCATGGACCCAAACACATGGTTCATGGCGGCTCCATGATTCATACCTACAGAGACGGTCGGAGACCTGCCCCCAATCGAGACGCGTGCCCTTCTCCCTTGTGCAAGTGCCCCAATCGCTGGAAAGCTTACCTTGACCCTCAAAACTGCCATAAACTAAATATAGGCACATAACTAAGCAAATTCTCTAGCCGCTCTAGCCTTGAAAACTTAAAAAAATGGTTGACCTGGTCCTGTAGTCAAAAAAGCACATGCTGTTTCGGGGAAACATCCTTAGATCAATGGTGCTTGGATCCCATAGTTAGGGCATATTATTCTATAAAAGGATTCTACTAATATAATATAAACATATATATATATATATGTTGTAATACATATCCATACATATAGATATGTACATTATATACTACAGGGATTCTTTCGGCTCAGTCACATGTCTTCACCTCAACCCACCCCAGGGGCCGCGGCCTCCGTTTCTCCAAGTCACCGCGGGGGTCTCCGCGCGAGGCCGTCCCGTCGAGGCCTCGACGTCCCGCGCATCGTCCTCGCGGAGACGGCAGCGGTGGGTGGAGACGCCTGAAGTGCATGTTGGGTTCTTTTAGGGTGTTGGTTCTTTTCGTCAAAGGCAAAGACAAAGGCAAAGAGGTTGGTCTTTAGATGTTGAGCAAGTGAATGGGATATAATGTTGATAAACACTCGCCGGATTCCTACACATGGAAGTGGTGGTTTGATAAATGGAAAGAGCAAAAAAGACGGTGGTTGTCCACTTCCGTGCGGGGTTGTGATTCAGAGGGTATCAAACTTTGGTGACAGCTCCATGAAGGTTGTTCAACATGGGCTGAAAAATGATCGAATCATATGGGTGATATATATATATATATGTGATATATATATATATATAATCAGGATGCAGGGCTACCAGGCTACCACGCCGCAGAGAGCCTGGGGGCCCACTGGGGGCATCCTCAGGAGCACAGCTCCACGAACGGGGACCACTGGCCACCTGTTTCTTAGGCCGATGTAGAAGTGTTGACACGATTGGATTGGCTAATCAACTCTATAGAATCATCATTGTAAAAAAAGGATTGGATTCTGCCTCTCTCAATGTGTTTTGACTTGCAGACGTTGAAGTCGCGGACGACATAGAGGTGCCATGCAGGGGGGGTCTGAGACCTCACTTGGTGGCTGGTGACGCACTAAATCTCCTCTAGCTAACTCCAGGTAGGACCTGGTAGGACCGGAACCAATCAGCCACTTCATGCGGCTTGATGTTTCACCTCCATTCCACGGGGTCTACTGCACCTTCCACTCTCAAGTTGTTCTGTTTTTCTACGAGGATCTGAATGATCCCGCGGTCAAACAACACAAGTCTTTTCTTTGATCCTCCAAACACTCAAACAAACACCCACGAGATCTTCTGTAACTATGAATGATGAGAACCAATACCGAAATCCTTAAAGTCTTTTTTTATATAAACATTATAAACGAACACGTGTTCCCAGTTCCAACTGTCACAGCCGCATAAGCCCACCCTGATCTCCTGCAACTTCTGCAGGTCCTCTGCTGGTCCGCCCTTCATGGCGTTGTCACCGGTCCTGCACGAGTTCGTGACGGTGCGGACGGCCACCGTCAAACAGGACTCACTGCGTTCCACCCAAACAGTGCTGCAAAAATGTTTAACAAAAAAGCGAGGCACTTGCCAGAATTAAACATGAAAGTCTTAGTTCCGAACCAAATCCTCGGCGTTTTTCATACTATGTCACATGAATCACCAATTTTTTTGTAAATCTAATACAGCAAAGTGGTTGCTAAATGAATCAAATTGTTGTATAATATCTGACCAAGACAAGTCCATATGTAAAATCTGAGACTTGTCTCAGCCCTCGGGCTTCGCCCAGCCCTCGCCTGAAGAATCCATCGCTGGTGAACTCCTTCTCGGTGGCTTCCTGGGTCGTTTCAACGGGGTGAAGGCAGCAACCAGCTCGAAGGCCCCTTCTCCAGCTTCAGTTCCGAACACCTTTTTTTACCTGTTCTGGCCAGTTCTGCCCCATTTCCACGGTGAAAACACGATTAAAACATCTTACAGAGGCCCTTGCCTCCAAATGGTTGAATGTATTCAAAAGAGGGCTGTCGTAATCGACATTTCTTACAAGGGGTGGACACGGACCTGCCTCAAAAAGACTCAAAAAGATTCAAAAAGCATACTTCAAGCGACAAAACATCTTCATGACCCCAAGGTTCCAATAAACCTTGATGATACATCAGAATCAAGCATGCCCAGGACGAGCGGCTTTTCGCTTGTAGTATTCCTTGAAGACTGGTCCACCTGACACAATAACAAACTCTTGGGCTTGCGGCTTGGGCGGAGCGCCCGACTCAAAGCATCCGCGTGTGGCTCGGAGTGCTGCCCCTGCCTTTCACCAGGATCCCTCCATCCTGCGGGTGGGGCCAAGCTATTCCGCTCACAATCTGGGGCCAAGCTATCCATGGGCATTGGACCATTGGTTACACTTCAGTTGCACTTTGCACATCGGCACAGAGCTGTTGAGAACAGGATATACTTTTTTTGAAGCCGGATCCTATTGTGATAGTCATAGTCATATTGCACGCCGAACTCAGCTTCGTGAAAAGGATTGGAAAACGATCCAGGGTCCTTCACAGGACCGTTTCAACGAACCACCAAACCCGCTTGGCCCATATGGGTGTGTACTAGAATAGGGAGACCCCCGTTTGACTGCCTGGAAGAAGGAAAATCGACCAAAAACTCATTGATTGGTGGGAGGATTCTCCATTAAATACACCAATATCATCCCATATCACAGAACCCCAGCAAAGGCACAGGCAATGTTGGACTCCCACGTCGTATCTCGGATGTCGATTCTCACCGTTCTGCTGCGGCTCCTGATCCTGCTTCACCTCCACGTCAGGCAATGGCCATCCGACACACCTGACGGCCCCGAGGCCCCTGACGTCCGAGGCGAAGTCCAAATGACTTCACCCAGTTCATGATGCGTTGTGACCAGGTGTGAAGTCATTGGAAGATCCGCTACGATGCAAATGAGCTTGTTCACCCTATGCAAAAGGCACCACTGAAAAAAAGGGTATCCCACCAGTGTCCAGAGATCTTTCAAATGTAGCCCAGACACTCCATGTCTGGCACATTTGCCGATCGATCGGGGTGGGTCAGTTTAGGGGTCAACTGATTGGTAAATATTCCACAATTATATATATACATCTATAGGTAGGGGTCATGTGTGGTTTTATGCCACACCATATTCCATATACACAAAACCGGGATCAGTGTTTGGGGAGAACTCCTGCCTGTTGCTGGAGCGCACACTGTGGGGCGGTCAGAATACACTGAGACTACACTCAGTACCGAGTGCATCGGAGTGTGGCGTACCATGAAATTGATCTAGATCAGGGTGTCTAATTCAGTATATAATAACATGTGCTATAATAACTATATATTTATTCAATGCTTTTCAATGGTACCCTGTATAAAGATCAACACGATCAAAACCATTCAGTTCAAGCTGAATCTAATATAAATCGAATAACCAGTCAGTCATTTATACATGGTTTCAGAATAGATGGCACAACCCCCAAAAGGTGGTTCATATGGATCCCCATCTAAAAGACATCTTCGGGTTTGTGCCATCTACTCTGAAACCACAGACTGACAGACTCCCGACCGCGTCAGACGGGACTCCCGACCCGGGGAAACGTGTCCCATCGATCCGATTGCTCAAGGCCATGCCAATCTCCGTCATGCCATACCTGGCACCCGTTTTCGCGTCGGAGCGATCCGGCACCCGTGTCCCATCGATCCTCCGGTTTTTCGAAGAAAAACGCCTCCACCGACATCTGCTGAAATGGATGCATTTCATTGCATTTCCATGAAATTCCAGATTAGCACTTAGATGTGTGGCTGGCTAAACCAAACAAATCTGTTGGAGTAGTAACATGTTTTTTGGAAGAAATCACTTTGGGTCACCGGGTCACCCCCCCTCTGTCCCTATCTGTCCCTCCTGTCCCATCATTCCGTGTGCTGAGATACCCACCGTTCCAGGAGGACATGTCCAGAGATTTCGGCCCAGGATTTCATGGTGGGCACCTGAGCGGCCGGAACCCGGAGGTATGAGGCACGAGGCACTCCGAGGCACGCGGCTAGCTGCTAAGGTGGTGGGAAAAACCAAAGGCGTTGCTCATGTTCCTGGTTTTCCCTTGCGATGGGTGAGGACGAAACCCACGGTCCGGGAGGTATCGGAAAAGCTTCACATAACCAGGTCGACCTTTGGCAGGTCCTCTGGTTTTGAGAAAACAGACCAGCTGAGATCCGCGAATGGTTTAGAAGACAAACAATGCACACTTTTAATGTGTCTTTTAATCTTCAACCCAAAATGGAATAGGGGGAGCCCCGCAACCAGCCTAAACTGGTTGGGAGCCCCGCGACCTTTGTTCAACACTGCGTCCTGGTCTTTCTTATCGAAAAAGCCCAGCAGTGCCTGGGGCTCAGGCGTTGCATATGGGTTTAACCAACAGAGGTAACCCATAATCCAACAATCCTGGACCTGGAAGTGGAACAGACCCAATTTGTGGAGGAGCATGGTCTTCCTGGAGCACATATGTTCCACTTCCATCTTTGATTGTTGAAGAGGGGGTTGTAGGATGTTGTAGGATCTCTTCCTTGCAGGAACACATGAAAATACACATGGAAGATATCTTCTTCAGGTGGTACTTGGTTTGAATATCAAAAAATGAATGGCTGTGGCTGTGGAGAGCAGAGGTCTGTGCAGGTTGCTTCGAAATGTGAGACAAGTCCACGAAAGTAGAAATAAAAACTCAACGAATTCTTTGTGTTCTTCATCACTTATATATTATATGACATTGTATATATAGTATAGTTATATATATATAATTATATAAATACTTCCATGTCACTATGTCACCCATTCTGGTTCATGGGAACTCTTTTGGCACAACTGCTGTTTGCGTCCGACGTAGACGACTGCCAGGTACGCCAAGCAGCAGGAAGGGCTGCAGAGCCAGAGACCATGTACCTGGCGCTTTGGAGCAACGCACTGAAGAGCTGGAGCACAGCTGGAGACTGCAACAGGCATTTGTTTTCGAATATCAAGATATACCCTGCGTTCGCAGGTTGCATGTTTTGGTACTGGCTAAAATCGCTAAAAAGTTGGAGTGGAGTTTTATGGAGTTTTCATCCCCAGTTTGTACCGCATGTGCATTGAATGTCCGACGATAAGTGTGTGTTGAGCGAAAAAATGCCAGCAGGGAGCGAATGTGCTTAAGCAGGGAGCGAATGTGCTTAAGCCTTAGGTACAGACTCTATGGATTTCAGGACTCTAGATGTCGGACTTGGAAGTTCGAGGGTCCCAGAGGTGACCATTCTGATGTCGGACTCCATCCCCTGTCCGACATGTGGTGCCTCAGAGATGGATTCCGCAGTCCTTTGCCTCAGAATCTGCAAAGAGGTGAAATGCTTGAATGCCCAAGGCCCCCAAGAATGTTGATGAATGTTGATGAATGTTGATTATATCAATCCCCCCAAGACATGGATTGTAAAGCCTCTGAAGAGGCTTGTTCTTTTTTAATGAATCAACAGTCTACATCATCCTCATCCAATGGATCCTCATCAGTTGTCATTCCAAGGCTGTCGATGTTTTGACCCCGATGGCCTTCACTGGTCACCCCATTGGACAGCCAAGACCGGTGAATGACAACTGATCAGTGCAGGACCAGTGGATGAGTCATGATGTTTGGAACAGACTCTTCCAGAGTCCGTTGCTTCTTCCAACAGTCTGCCGAGCATTTTCGGGTGGATCAACATGACATTCGCACTCCCCTCCTTCACTCTGCGTCTGGGTACGCATGTACACGAAAGCATCGACCGGAATTCTCTTTGACGAGGATATGATGGAGGAAATCTATGTGGCGCTGCAAACTTGGTCCAATTGGTTCCTACAAGTTCCTAATCTCATGAGCAAAACTCATCGATCCTCTATTTTCCAGAAGCTTTCTTCTGCTTCTACAGTGTTCTACAGCTTGGAGTTCGTGTCCAGGTTCCCGGCAAATCTCAGCCTTGTCGCTGGCTGACAGTTGTTCCAGGTATTGGGTGAATTTCACCTCGGGAGCAGGTGACTGGGTCGCTTTGGGGTGGTCGTTGTGGGGCGCTTCATGGTCCGGAGCCTTTCTTAGAATTGCGACACAACGTGCGACTCCAGGTGCAGGATCTCATCAAGATTCAGATGGTTCAAAACAAGTCTTAGACAACTCAAGCTTTCCACCTTGTCAAAGCAGTCGACACCTTCCACCTTCCAAAACCCACCTTCTCAACGGTCCACAGATGCTTTCTCCACTCAGGAGCAACATCAAACTGTCCACCAGAAGTCTCAAGTCTTCCACCTGCAGTCTCCATCAAGTCTTCCTACCTCATCCTACCTCTCCCCACTGCTTGTGGCGACTAGTGCCCACGTGCCCGTGCCAAGGGACGTAGACGGTGGGCACCGCATGGAAGCAAGTGATGTCTCCACTGATGAGGCGCTGCAAGCAGAACTTCGCATCGAAAGCCGTGACCTCCACGGCAGCTCCATTGAAGAGTGCGGAGTTCAAGATGTTTTGCACCTCAGAAAGTCCGACCAAAGCCGGGGGCATCAGTCCGCTCAAGAGTCTCGGAGTCTCGGAGACGAGTATGTTGCTACTGAACAGTGGAAAAGGTAAAGACCTGACACTCATTGGGTTCTTAATGAGCTGGGAGGCTTCGAGAGTTGTCTACGCAACCGCGAACCCACCACTCGTGGACCACGCGAACCCCTGAGTGGCAGACGCCATGAATGTGATGAAGGGGCAGTACATGCAACGTTCGATCCTTGGCAGACCACCTGGAGCTGCGTGAGATGGCTATGGGTCATGCACCAGCGGGGGGGGCCGACCGGTTGACCACAGAAAAAGAACAGAATGGACTACTGGGGAGGTCCACCTTCTAGGTGCTATACTAGATGTGCTTGTACATCACCAGTCAAATGGACAGTGTCATAATCAGACCCGGCCGAATGACCTCTGCAGGTGAGGAGGAAGTCTTATCGTCTAGTTTATAAAATTTGAAACTACTCTTCACCCAAATGAACTCGTTTCCTCTTTTCCTCCAGCTCCATCCAGAGTTCTTTAAACGGGTTCCATGTTGGATGTTGTGAGTGTTCACCCCGTTTCCGGACGTGCTTTGTCTCCCTCCCAGACGCTCCCACAGCTCGACTGGTCCCTCAACACCCAGACCGATCCCCGGACCGATCCCCGGTCCCCAGCGGCTTCCAGGCTGTACTCAGCGAGAGCATCTGAGACGTTAAGCCTCAGACTGTCTGACTGGATTTTGCCGAAGGAAGGAAAGGAAAGGAAAGGAAAGGAAAGGAAAGGAAAGGAAAGGAAGGACTGGGCACATCAATGCAGTTTCCCCAGGTGCCAAAAAGGATTGCTTCAAGCAGTTTGCCCAATCCAATGACTGATCAAAATTCAAAAAAATAAGTTGGTCAGACCGCCCATGCATTCGAAAAGTTAATGCCTTATTTAATGGTACGTATACATCATCTTATATATAAGCTGAAGAATCCTCCATGTTTCGAAAGCATGACTGCGATCCATGCTGATATGCTGAGATGGATCTCTCAAGAAAAGGAGCTTGCTTTCTAACTCACAGACACCTGACACATCCAGAATCTCCCCACATATCACCATAATGTACATGTGTATTCTTTCCGGAAATCGGAGTTCCACGTCGATCGTAAACCAGTCAACCACCCCTTCACTGCCCAAAACACCTTAACAAAGCCGCTACAGTACATCCCCAAGAGGCAGGCCGTTCTCAGATGTTCTCAGAGACCAAAATGAAACCAAAAGGACGCTACTAGGTGGAGGCCATCGCTACTAGGAGCAAGGACGCTACTAGTAGCTCCTGGCCTTAGGTGTCCATGGGTGTACCATCGGCCATCGGCGTTCGGTGCACCGATGGCCCTCCATCGACCCATTCGCTTCATTGCTTCGAGCACCCAATTGCTCATGCTCATGCATTCTCCCTCTGGGGCAAGGGCTCTTGAAGGTGTGAACCACACCTGGGCAATCTTCTTTCGTGTGAGTTTGCAGTTGACCCACAGGAAAAACTCAAAGAAAAGACAGGAGGATCAACATAAAGTAGACCTGTCGGAGTGTTGAACGATGAGACCCAGGCTGACCTGGCGGTAGACCCAGTTTTCATGAGATCTTCAGTAAAGTAAAGAAGACCGATCGCCGACCGTGCCTCGACGTGCCTCCGGGGTCGACACCCCACGAAGCTTGTGCAAACAATGCAAACTGCTGATGTTCAGATATGTTCAACCAGTTGACATGAACAACAGTCTACAGATATGTTCAACTGCTGATATGTTCATGGAAGTCGGGATGAAAGGGCCTCCAACAAGAAAACACCGAGTTAGGCGCATCGACCAAGGGAAGCAGAGGACCGCACAGATCAATATATGAGATCATGGACTTGGGAGAAGATGCTTAACATTAAACTGCACACTCCTCAAATACCACAAACATTGAAAGCTTTCGTCACATCATTGATTAAGGCACATCAAACACCTACTACTCCCTCTTCCCGGCCGAAAAGACTCAGTTCGGCAGCACGGCACAGTCGGACCCGAGTTCTCCGTCCTTCTGGGCCGTTCGAACGGCCGGACCGGTTCGCACCGGTTGCGGCCTTTGGGCTGCCCCGTGGTGCCCGAGGTGTAGAGGATCAACGCGTTCGTCGAGGACACCTAGGGCGCTTCCTTCGGCCGAGCGATTCGGCCGGGTGGGGGCGCCGAACAAAGCTGAAGGTTAGCGGCCAGCATGTGGCAGAACAGCCGGTAAGTATGGTATCGGTATTGGGCATTATTAGGCCATTTGGAGCATCATTGGAGTCTGTGAACTGGTGCGACTCAGTCATATGGTCTTAAAGAGTAGAGAACGGTATCCATAAGTAGGAAAGAAGATGAAGAAAACAATTGTGTGGGTCTTGATGTTCAAACAGTCAAAATGGAAGCCATGGGATAGGCAAAATGCAGAGTCCAGCAGACCATGTTTTTACTGTTTGTAGTGGGTCCCCAATGTCTAGACCACCAATTAAGGGAAATCGAGCAAATAATCAGCCCCATCCCCACATGGTTCCAAGTCATGCTTGTTTGACATGCACAAACATTTAAGCACAGATTCGGAGTCCCTCCTCCACGCTCTGTCTGAATGCACAAACTAACTAAAAAACATATGCGTAGCGCTACGCCCTTTCTGAGCATTGGACGTCGGCTGCAGATCCAAAAAACTTAAAGAATCCCAAAAAGCAGCGTCTAAGGCAGCTCGGTTCCTGCAGTAAGCGCGCACGACCGATCACGATAGGATCGACCGATCCCGCTCGAGGGCTTTGCCGACCAAACACCTCCAAGGCTAGCCGTTGGTGAAAGGAACAATCGACCAAAGACGAACCGGCTTTCCGTCATAGACGAACACAGCAGTCGATTGATGGGCAGAGCGGTTTTCATCCCTGGATCCCCGTGGATCGTGTTGGTTTCCTAAGTTGAGGTCGTCCTCCCACTGACCCAGTGGCTTTTTTTGTTTCCTGAGACAGTGACACAGCGGCTGCAAGTAAAAGGGGGCGTTGGATCTGCCAACAAAAAAACGTATTCTGGCACAAATCTGACTGATTCATAGTAGGGAATAAATTGGAATCAAGGAACGCTCCCGAAATATAAGAGGCTTTTCGAGGATTCCCAAAACCCTAGACCCTAGGCATCAGGGATGACTAGGAGACTTCTTTCTTTCAAACTCATGTGGCAAGAAGTTAGTAACAAGGGCGTCGCTACTAGCAACAAGGGCATGACTACTAGTAGCAAGAAGCTACGAACGCAGTAATGCCCTTGTTAATACTAGCGAAAGAAGGCCCTTCGCTTCATCTCCACAGATCGACGAGAAGCGTCGCCTCGGCAGTGGCACCATTGCCATTGCTGCCTGAAACCACGACAGCGACAGGTCAATCAATTGGTCGAACGCAGACAAGCTTCTTGCACTGTAATTACACAAAATTTTATCGTCACTGAGATGCAGAGTGATCCTGGTTGAGTATGTTTGAGCTCCAAGCAGGCTGGATGAGTCTATTTGTTGCCATTCAGATTGCAACTGGCAAACAGGATTTGTGCCACGCAACCTCCTGCAACTCCGACATCACATCTCAGGATGACAACACACCCAAACCCTTTGTGAAGCTTCCTGTGGCACAAACATAGCAGCTTGCAGCAACTGATACGATAGAGAGGTTCTAAGGCCATGCAAACCGCTCGGGATCAAAACATAAACTCCGCTCGTTTGCGCCTTCAGCAGACAACTGATATTCGCCGGAGGGTGCCTGAAGGGTTCGTGGGCAGCGATCGAGAGCTGATCAAGCGGAAGGCCATGTGGTATGCCAGAGTAGGGGTCACTCCATGAAAACTCCACGCTCTTGCATGGTTTCATCTGTGAAACCGACAAGAGTTGTCAAAAAAGAAGTCTGTGACAACGAGTATCGGCCTGAGATTCATCTTAGGAGCTTGGAATTCGCTTGGGCCTTGATACCGGTATCAACACAGCCTTTCGGATCGACCATCAAACCCCACTCCAAAAGTTGATCATACGTATCATATGCACCACATATTGTAGATATATAATAGCGCGGTAGGATATTTTAGATTTATATAACTGAAAAACATTGTGTATATATATATATCATATCATTATATCAATTTGATTTGGTTTGATCTAACTCTTGGAACATCGGCTGGTTTGGACTCCGACACGCCACCAAACGCCCGCCCCGACCGCTGAAAACGTCACCATCGACACCCACACGACCTTCAGCACTTCCGCGAAGCGTCTGGAAAGCTTCTCAGCGACGGTCCTGTGAAGAGAGAGAACGACATCAGCGGACAGGACAGCGGCCGGTCTGAACTGACCCGAACTGACCGGAACGGATAAGAGAGAGGACAGGACATCGGACAGACAGAGTAACCAAGGAGAATGGTTTGACCAAGGTTTGTTTGAGAATGGTTTGGCCAACAGTAGGGGAGACCCATGCCACAGTCTTTGGTGGCAGCTTCTGAACTTCTAGCTCCCAACAGCACAACTAATAATAAACATCTGTTTGTTTGAATCTGGGATTAAGCGTCCCGCTGCAACTCCAGTAGTTAATCCTTTAAAGGATCCTTTAGGGGTGCAAAAGTAAATGCAAAACTTGGAGGCCAAAAGGTCTTCAAAGTTCATCGGATGAAGTGAGGCTAGTTGCTGAAGATTGGCATGCCTCCCAGGTGGTCTTCTCTCTCCACCCAAGTTCTCCTCATCTTGCTGGCACCAGCAGCATCGGCCAGGCATAAGCAGCTCTCGCTATCCTCCAAAAAGAACCAGGTAAGCTGTTTGCACACATGAATCCAGGCATGTAGTGGGCACCAGCAGTTCCAGTTCCAAAGACCGAGCTTCTAGAATTTACAATGATTCCAATGATTCCCCTTTAGATGCAACTATAACTGGGATGCACTGGGATACATTGGAGTCTTTCCCCCAAGGCAAATACAAGAAAATGATCAAGCCTTGCTATACGTTTGCACTGTTCCAAAGGGTGA